CGATTTTTGTCATACAAAAACCCCACTAATCCATCGCCTTTTGTTCATTTCGAAAAAGGTTTTCGAGCCTCACCCTTCAAGAAAATTCAGCCAGGAATACAGTCAAACAAATAAATGGTTTCCCGTCAACTGATCGATTATCGTTTGAAAGACCATTCGTGGACGATTTCCGAATGATTATTGATAGGTGTATGGGCACCTTTATAGTACACTTTTTTTCTACAGCAGCCACAGCCTGAGTAGAAAAGCTTGTCCCCTGCCAGCAGCTGCAGAGTGGTACTCTTGCCTCTGTGTGAAAGCAGTTGCCTTTCTGCAGATGCTCAACATGCCCCTTTACAGAGTCAGACCTATACTGAATCAGCAAAGCTCATGCTGCTTGCTGATTGGATATATCTGGCTCTGACTCATTAGGGAACACGCCAGACCTCTGCAGAGAAAACCAGCAGAGAATCGTACGATTTTCGGCCGGTTTTTAGCATGATCGTAAGATCAATGCCGCACGGGCCGGTGTGCGCACGCGCACACTGGCCGTTCAGCATTGCGGTCATCGGAAGCCCGCCCCTCAGGGGGGCGGGCTTGCGATGATCGCAAGTACGATCTGCCTTTCCAAGATGGGCAGATCGTACGTTTTTTTCATTACTTTACAACCATCGCAAGACTGAGGTCTTGCGATGGTTGTAAAGTGTATGGCCACCTTTAGAAAGAAAACAATCTGCTAGACATAAACAAAAAATGTTTCATGGACCTGCAATGAGTTTAATTGGGCTTTAAATAAGAACTCTGGGGAGTTTTATTATTAACCCTTGCAGCGGGGCTACCCTGCATTACAAGAGTTAAGTGTTCATTTTGTATAGGGCAGGGGTAGGCAACCTTGGCTCTCCAGCTGTGCAGAAACTACAAATCCCATAAGGCATTGCAAGCCACAGGCATGACTCCTATAGGCAGAAGCATGATGGGATTTGTAGTTTCAGCACAGCTGGAGAGCCAAGGTTGCCTGCCCCTGGTCTAGGGAGAAAAATTAATTATCACCTGATTCTTGGAGCCGGCTTGCTTGTAAACTGGTCCCTGGAGCCTCTCTCACCCTCCACTGAAGCTGTCTAAAGGTGCCCATACACCTTACAATTTATCTGCAGATTTTCTGTGGTCGGATGGAAAAGGTGCAACAGATTTCTCCATCTACACTTAACTGTGTGGATGGAGGAATCTCCCGCTGGGCCAAGCTTCCATAATCTTGCTAGTTGGCCCCGCTGGCTCTTAAAACACCTGAACAATGCCTGCATCCAATCAAATTGCTCAGGTATTTAGAGAGCCAGCGGGGCTGACTAGCAAGATACTGAAGCTTGGCCCAGTAGGAGATTCCTCTATCCACACAGTTTAGCGTAGATGGAGGAATCTGTTGCACTTTTTCCATCTGACCATAGAAAATCTGTAGATAATTGTAAGGTGTATGGGCACCTTAAGGCTGGCCATACACCTGTCAAATTGTTTCGTTCAACCAGCGGGCTGAACAAAAAAATTGACCCGATTCCTCCATGAACACAAACAGTGTCGATCGAGGAATCGCGTTGTTTACATTGTATTCTGACAGGTGCAGCCGGCACCTGTCAGAATACCCAATCAGAGCAGACAGCTCATTAGCTGCTGGCTCTGATCGATCAAACATTTTCCAGCCGTCTCCTTCGATCAGCTGAAAAGGAGCCGACAGCCCCACACACTGCGCAAATTTTGTCCGGTACATTAAAAACCGGCTGACATTCGACCAGTGTGTGGGCAACTTAAGGTCCCTGAGTCATCACATTCTATACACAGTGTATAGGACATGAGGATGCCAGCCGTCTTGGAGATTCGGGTGACTATAACCCTTGCAGTGTGGGACTAATAACATGTTTTAACTGGAGTTGTTTCATAAAAATCATATGAGCTCCTGGGTACCAGATTGCAGGGCTTGCTGAGACTTGTAGTTCTGCAGCCGCTGGCAGATGCTGAATCTAAGAGGGAATGCTGGGTTTTGTAGCCCCACAAGAGATCAGTATGGATATCTTTGCTGGGAGCTCGGCAATAGCAATATGCTGAATGGAGGGTGGGATTAGGTTAATCTATACCCCAATTTTTCAAGGATTGAACTGAAATCACAGAAAGTCTTATAAATGCTCAGAGGATGCACATTGTCCATGTCTCATAGACGGGAGCTTGTGTATAAATGAGATTTTTTTTTTTCTGCTGATATATAAATCCCAATCCTGAGTTCCCAGGTTCTAGTGTGGGTGTAGCAAGCAGCAATCACAGCTCCTCCTATTCCTATACCATGAATAGTGAGTCCTGCTAGTCTTTATAACACGCTCGGTGGCATATTATTCTGCGATTACACCACTTCCTAGCCCCCTCCTTTACAAACTCTTCCTATGAGATGCAGAATTGAAGTGCTCGTTTAAACGGCAGCCTGAACGCTGGAGGAGGCAGAAGAATAGCTGGCTGTGTCTCTGTGAATGGATATCTGTGACAAGGCTGTCTCCAATCACTGTAACCTGATAGTCTTCACTGCTGCATGTAATCCAGGGACTGCCAATGCTGCATTGAAGAAATTGCAAGCGCCTTGCTCTTGTTGAGGACACAGAAGATTATGGTGTCATCTGGCCACCTAACATGTCACCTGGAAAACAATGGGACTGAATTACAAAGGAGCTCTCGGAAGCAGCAGCAGCATTAGTGCCTTTTGCAGTACTGAGCCAGTGCAGTGATGCTTTTTAACAATGAGGTCTCACCTCTGAACGGTTGCTATCTCCCTCTGTTGATGTGCATTATTTGCAGATAGCTGGTGACTGTCATTTCTGGGTGTGTGCTTTTTGTCAGTGCATCGGATATATGTTGTGGGGACACCTGTGTGGAGAGGAGGTGGTACGTCAGATGATGGATGTGCTGAGCTGATTGTAGACCAGCAGCGTCTTTGATCAGGCAGACTATTCTGCAGCTCGTGCTATCTTTGCAAGCTGCTCACTCAGGGGACCCATGAGCAGAGGAGCCACCCTCCAGCGCAGGACCACCTACCACATCTCATTGACCTTAGTCAAATTAGAGGCTGTAGGAGAGGACAAAAAAGGAGAAAGCACTGAGGTATACCGAAGACATGACACCCCCTCTCTTGGAAGCACCCCTGGATTGGCCCATTGCCTATCACTGGATAGGGAATTTTCTGATGTCTGGGCATGGGGAGGGCCCACTTCTGGCTCCGGGGTGAGTGGAGGAAAAGAAAAGACCATCACAGAAACCAGTTCACCTGTGACTAACAGCAGCGTGGAGACAGATTCTACAAAAAAGGAGACTTCAGGTACCAACAATGCACCACCACCAGTTCCTTCAAAAACGTCCTCATCTGAAGCCGAAACACTGGTTCCAAAGCAAGAAGAATCTGCACATGTTACTGCTACAGTACTTAGAGAGAGGGCCACAGGAATTTCCAGCTCCTCAGGTTTGGAAACGGGGACGAAACACACAAGCGGTGCATCTTCTTCACTACGGGGAGAAGGAGATGTCCCTGCTACTACCAATGGCACTACATTAGAAATAGCTGGGGCCTCTGAGACATCAAACGTTGTAGGCCATTTGTCACAAGAAGTGGACTGTAGTACAGTTGCCAGTGCAGAATGTGCAGCAAAGAAACCAATCCCATTATCAACTGAAACATCAGGAGCCACTGGAAAATCCATACCTTCAGACCCCAAAGAGGTAAAGTGTACTACTATGGCATCCAGTATTCCAGTACCAGCACCAACTGACAAGGACACAGGGTCATCAAGTGCTAAAACTCAGAAACAGGATTTAAAGAGTTCTCAAATAGCCAGTAGTGCAGCTTCAGTACAGGGAGAAAAACGCACAGGTGCGGCCAACAGTGGAGACCCATCTGTGCAAAACACCAAATCTTCAGGAGCTTCAGCACCAGCAATGAAAGACACCAGAACAGTAAGTGCTCCAGTGCCATTTAGTCAAAGGGAATTTCGCTTTGGTGAAGTGCGGGTAGTTCGAGGATCTCTTATCAGACGACCAGCACTAGATACTGATGTGTCCAGGGATTTAATATGCAGTCCTTTAACACCAGTGCCTGGAGCCAAAATCACTGAGGGTGTCAGCCCTGAGAAACCAGTTACTGAATCTAGAATTACCCGTCGCAGTTTAAAGGCAATAAAGGTACCAGCTGTATCATCTGACTCCCCACCACACACAAGTACTTCACCAGTTACTACAGAAAAGCCTACCAAACTTTCTGAAAATCTTGACAAACCATGTATAGTGTCATCCAGCATACCCCGTGTTACAGCTCCTCCAATAAGTGCTGCACGCACTGCATCAGCGTTGTTTTCTGCATCTCGATCCGCAGGAGCTCCTGTTATTGCTGCAAAGCCTAGTGAGGCCAAAATAATTGCTGCCAGAAGTGCTGCAAGGGGAACTAAGGGAGCAACTCCAGGTGCAGGTAGTGAAGAGTCTACAGGAAGCAAAGCAGCTTGTGAAAAAACTAAAGGTGGAGATACTGGCACATACCCTGGAGCAAAACCACCTGTTACTGCATCCAAAACTCTACCTACTGGAGCAACAACTGTCACACCAGTTAAAGCAACAGGTATAACTACTAAACCTGCAACTTCATCAAATGACACTGTACCAACAGCAGTTCCTCGAAATAAACCTTCATCTGCTACAAAAGCTCCAGTAACAGGCACAGGAACATACCCAGGAGCAAGAGCACAAAATATTGGGTCTAAATCACCTGGTGCCAAAGCAACTAGTGATAGGCCTGTTACCTTGATAGAAAACAAAAGCTCAAGCCCCAGTAAGATAATATCATTCATACAAAAGACTCCAGAAACTACGCTTGTTGTATCTCTTTCACCCTGTGGAGATGTATCCACCTCTTTGCAAGGTGAGGAGGAAGAGCTCAACCCTGACGGTGACGATCCTGGAAAGAGTAAGCGGCATGAAAGACTGTTTCATAGGCAGGATGCTATGTGGATCAGTACCAGTGTCACCTCTGACTACTTTCTTCAGAATTCTCCTGGCCGTATTTGTGGAAGCCCTCGGCAACATTCAAGCCCTACTTTTTTCTCTGGGCCCAGATATTCCTTCAGCTCTCCATCCAGTCCACTGCTGCCTGTACCCTGCCAACCTGGAACCCCATATTGTGAAGCACCAGTGACTGTGTCCCTTTCAATCAGTCCTGACAGATCTGGAGAATCTCTGAAGAGCAGCTCCCATGTGGACAGCAAGGCCAAAGCTCCAGGTACTCCTATAATAGGAGTAACAGGATTGTCTGGGCCTCCTGAGCAAGTGAAGATAACTCCTGTTCTATTAACACCATGTAAAGAAAAAGGTAGTAGAATTCTCAAACTTACCAAGGCATCTAAGAGTCAAGTCGAAAAATCTGAGCCCCGTGAGAAAAATCTAAACCAAAAAAGTGGCTCCAACCGACTGTCCTGGCCTGAAAATGAAGGGGGTAAAAGTCGTTCAAAGTCCTCCACAAAAAGCAGCCCAAGAGCAGAGACTCCAAAACTTTCTGGGGGTGGAAAAAACCTGTTGTCACCATCCTCCTGTGACCCCAAAGCTTTTAGAAAGGGAAAAAGCAGGACAGTGGACAACAGTGACCTAGACCTACTACCTGAAGAGTTCAAGAAGGTACGCGAGGGAGCATCTCCTACTGGAGACAAGGCCAAGGTTTCAGCAGCTAGGGACAGGAAGATGCTGAAATTCATTAGTGGTATCTTCACCAAGTCCTCTGTGGCTGCCTCTGTCTCTCCAAGTGGATTAAGTCCAGGAGATGAAAGAGACTTTGAAAGTAAGTATCTTTTTTCTTATAATCATTTACTAGTAGCTTACTCTAAAATGCCTTCTTTTTGGTTAAATGGCATGTACACAGTTAGCAATTTGTACTGGTTATTATAAATACAAAATGTTTTAGTTGGCATCACATTACTTTTGATTCAAGCCCTTCCCCCTTAGAGCTGCATTCTATGCAATTAGTGTAAACTGTGTTTTGTTTTGAGCATCCAAATCTTCTTAAAGTTTAAAATTTACTCTAGGAGCACTATGATACAAGCTGTTGATTGTTGGGACCTTCCAAATCTTTTATTTTAACCATTTTCTTCCAGGGACATAATATGCATAACTCCACCATACACTGGGAATAAGAACATATAAAACCATAATTTTTCTTTCCAGTTATCCTGTTTCCAGATTATATATGTTGAAGCGGAAGCGGATTTAGAAGGCACAAAATAATGCAACTCTGTAATCGTCAATACATTATTAAATTTGTTTTTTAAAGCAAGCAATGTAAGCACCTGGATTTTGCCTTTTCAGCTTATTGCAATTTCCTTGTACTGTCTGTACAGCAGAGCTTAGAGGGGGAGGGAGAAGCCGCACAAGGAGCCAGTCAGCAAGCATGCTGCAGTGCATTGGGTGGAGGGTAGAGCAGTGCTGCTTCTCCTTTCACTGTCCAGTCACTGGGTGGGCGAAGACACCTGCATGTTAAAGTGAAACTGCAGCAGATAAAGTTTAGGCTACTTCCCCTGCTAGACACAGATGTGCTGTAGAGTAGAGTTGTGTAAAAATATACAGGACATGTATACAAATCCTTTGGTGGTTGAAACAGCTCTCATATATGTATCTCACCTGTGAATTTAGCTGTATGCCTGGTGTTGCTAAAAGAGGTGTATAGTCTGTTTTCAGGAATATACCTCTACAATGCATTACAATTTTAGCTGCATAACATTATACTCTTGTTGCAAAAAAAAAAGTCAAAAGATGAATATCCTGCCACTAAGAAATAGAAATATCTTATGTTGATTAGCCTTTAATGTGGACTTTGCATGAGGTGTAAAGGAAGTGAAATGTCTAGCTATATCACCTGTGTTATCATCTAGTCTCAACAGCTTGGCGACCTCGAATTACTACTGGTGTTAAATCAGCATTAGGACCTGTGTCAGTGGGCTTTTATTCTATTCAAGCAGTTTCAGCATTACCATACAGGTCTATGGGAATGCAAAACCTGCTTCATGCAGGTCTGTGCACCTGTCATTGAATTCTGTATGCTCTCCATCTTGAACTGATTTTAAACTGATGCCATAGACCCAAGCCCAAGGCCCCCTGACACAGGCCCTTAAGAATGCTAAATTGCTTGTTTGTTGATTATATAGTGTGTGTGATGTCAGCATTCCCCTTCCTCCCCATCCTGCAATTCAAATCCCTGTGTGTCTGCAGTCTCATCAAGCTTCAAATACAGCAAATGAAAATAATGTATGACCACTATTTAACATCCAAAGCTTACTTTATCCTTGTTTTAAAATGGTAGTTTGGGGAATATTTTAGATTTAATTTCTCTTGGTGTCCCCATGGTGTTGATTACCCTTACTCTTGTCCCATTAAAATGTGTAGTTGGGAGAGGAAGTGAGCAGTGATCCCCCCTCAGCAGGGTAAAAAAAATGGCAGATAAAAAAAAATGGCGGATACAAGACCAGTTACCCTGCACAAGGATAGAGAGCAGCAGTGACTGGTCTTTATTACACGTGACTCCTGCACACAGGCAAGGTTTCACACTTGATTACTGAACAGATTTGGAAGAAATTGACAATTCACACCAAGATTCAAATAAGAATACACATTCCTCTTGTATTTAGGCAAAATGTGCTTGTCTCGGAGCTTTAACAGGGACGCAATTAGCAATAAAAGAACTCGCAATGTAGCTTCTCCACTCCATCCAAGAGTAAAACAAAGCATGATATGAAATATGTAGTCAGTTAAATAGGTTAATATTTGTCTAAAGGCTTGGAGTCTTCAAGTCATGTATGCACAGAGATTAGGTGTCAGCATGTATGACCCCATATGTCCAGGAAGCCCAGATTTGGTAATAGTGTCAAGAGAATAGTTTTTAACACATATATAACCAGAGTAAAATCACCACAGCTAAACCTGAAATGTAAACCTGATGATAGTTATTTGTAGTTACTGAAGAGTTAAATGACCTAGGGGGGAATTTGTGAAAACTGGAGCAGACAATAGTAGTTGCTTCCCTCTTCAGTTTGCTCAGTTAAGGTTTGAAAATGAAAGATAGAAGATGATTGGTTACTGTGGGCAACTACTCCAGATTCTGCCTGCTCCAGTTTTCATAAATTCTCCTCCTAGTGTCTCTTGTATCTCTCAGGGACTCATGAGATTTCTGTGTTTGAGTTCCTGGTTGTACATACTGTACCTGCCATGGCAGAAATGAGGGGTTCACTCTTCTGGTGGATTTTTTGGGAGTATATAGTCGGAAAAATAGAAACACATGTCAAGTATGTATTGCTGTGCAGAGGAGGTTCATCCTATCTATTTGTCCTAGCAAACATTTTCACCATGACTGAAAATTAGGGAAATTCCAAAGTTACAAGTTGTCACTGGAACAGAAATAGAGGGGAGATCTTCTCATGCAAACACTTGAAAAGATAAAACCTAAGATTTTAACCATTCTCTTTTCTAACCAAAGATTTAAAAAAAAAAATGGATTTAGGAAACATATGAAGATGTAGTTAAAGAGGAACTTCACCCTTATCTTAAAAATAAAAACAAAGGCACCTTTAGAAATGTTTTGTAATAACAATCTACAAACCGATACTTATAGATAATTGCCGGCTTTTTACTCTTTGCATACCTTATTTTTCGATTGCTCCCCATTCTTCTCATGGTGACCATTTTTACTAAGGGCAGATAAATCCATCTCCCTTTACTTCCTGGAACTCTGGATCTGCCTGCTGGAACATGTGACCATGCACTTCATCTGAGGGGGAAAAATGCCTTTCCCCCTGAGATCACGCAAGACTTTGCAGTTTACGGATGAGATTTCCGGGCAGGCACTGGTGATGTAGCCTTCCCAGGATGCATGTGAGACCAGGGCTACATCACTAGTGCCTCACTCAACCAGGAAGTGGAAAAATAGTAATTGTAAGTAAAAGTAAATATGTTTGTTTAGCATATGGACAGGGCCGGCCTTAGGCCTTTAGGCGCCCTGTGCGAGAAAGCTTTACAGCGCCCCTCAGTGGCCACACCCTTGGTGAGGGGGAGAGAAGCCGCCCACAGGACGAGCTGTGACGGCCGCACGGCGCCCTTGTTGCCATGGCGCCCTGTGCGGCCGCACGGCTCGCACACCCCTAAGGCCGGCCCTGCATATGGATATAATAGGATTTTATATCAGCATGCAGAGCTGCATACTGATGTGATTTTTAGTGAAAGGGGGTAAAGGTCAACTTTAATTCTTATTATGATTACTTTGATTACTTCCGATTCTGCACTACTGCATGTTCTATTCTATATTTTCTTTGGAGGGGTGTGTTCTGTTTGAACCTGGTTACTTTTGCATTGTTAGAATATCTATTATTTTATTTCCTAAAGGGGAAGAAAGTAAAGTAAACTGAGGAATGTAATACATGCTTGGGGCTTATGTTCGTAAGGATCGGTATTAAAGAAGAACTTTACCCACCAATTAAATATTTGCTTAAACAGTTACTTTCAAGGCATGCCAACCATCAAGGTGGCCAATGTGCTTATTTCAGCTCTCAACCAAACTTTTCAGCCCTCAAATGGCTGGTGTCATAGCTGATCACATGTACAACATATGGATAGGAGATTGTAGTTCCACTTTAAGTAATGACTCAGAAAGTTAATATTGAATATAAATCTGAGTCATGGCAAGACCTTCTTATTTTGAGATCCCCTAACTGCAACAGGTGAGTCAAGTTTCAGGCTTTCACAGAAGACTAGCAATCCCTTAATACCGCTTTGATATTTGTGTTGATATTTGTGGCACTGAAGATACATTTCCATTTTATGTCTCTGTGGATGTTTGAAGACATAGTTTAAAGGAGCCATAGACATGCTATGTCTATGCCTTCACCTACTGATTCATAAATGAGATCTACAGAAGTCATGCTAAAATGCTGATGAAGAGCATGGTCATGTTGATCCTAATTATCATAATTAAGGATTTGCTGCTCAATATGGTCCTTAATGGATGTCACTGGTCAGACTTTCTGTTCTGCAGATCAGTTACTTTCATAATGTATAAATCATTACAGATAAGCAATTCCAGGGATCTCTCCTTTCCCGGCAAAAGTGGGAAAAAATTATTTCTGAATCACTAACCTAGACAAATCACAATATCCGCTAGCCAGGATGTAGAGCCAAATTTCTCATAAATAGACTACGTTGTCTAAATGACATCCAGGCTTTTTTAATAAATAAAAATTAATTCTGCATTCCACCAAGACAAAATTCCTCTTCCAGCGATCTGACAGTACATCCATCAATTTCTTCTATGTGCTAAAATAACAACATAACTGATATTTAATCATGTCCAGGAGCAAACATGCTCCCTAAAAGCCCCATTATGCAAATTTGTATTTTCTTCTAGTTGCTCTTGAGAACTGGCTCATCACCACCTCCAGCACCTTCCTATTGGTCAATAAGGGAAAATAGGGAGGCGAAAGATGTAGGGGAGATTGCTTTCAAGTGCCAGAATTTGAACGACCAGGTCTAATGGCTTCAAGGGGATTCCTGAACATATTAGCAATGAATTCTTATTATGCAGCACTGCAATTTGTCGTTCATTATATCATTATACTTATTTGCAAAGCTTTATTAAAAAAATCTTGAATAACTAGTCGTTTCAATTAAAATCTGGCCATGTACTGGTGTGCATATTAAAGTAGGATGAACTGCTTTTTACTACCCTGATGTAAATGCCACTGTTTTCAGTTTTTCACACATGATTTGCTGGTGATGTCAATTAACTCCTGGCAAACACTC